TGAACCAGTCATGACAACATGAACACAGCCTGAGGGGACCTGTGGCCGGTGAAGTGCTGGCTGTGGGGTCGGACTAGATCTTCAGATCTCAGAGCCAGACAAGCTAACTTACTTACCTTATAGACTTACCTTATACCACTGCCTTTCAAAGCAGTGTAAGTACAGCTATCCCTCAAATGCACTTCCAACGGCAAGGATCAGCATTCCCTCGGGGCTGATCACCCTGATCACCCTCTGACACCCCAAAAGTTGCCATTATTTTAAATCCATATTTGAATAATAAATATATAATAATCATCATCCATTCATTTGAATCCATAATCGGATGGATTCCCTCGCCTACGGTACCACACAGTTCCTGCATGATATCAGTAGTTACTCAGTCCTTAACTTCAGGGGATCTTGCCTAAGCTTGTTGGAACTGGAGATGAAACCAATGGGAATTGCACTTCAAACATCTGTAGTGGTTCATAAAGTTCTCCAAAATACTAGATTCACCTCAAAATATCAGATGTCTCGTAGCAATCCAGCAAAAATAAACTATTAGCATATACACTTCTCTTCCTTAGTTTATCAGCTGTGAAGTGTTAATAGGGTGTTACCTAATTGGAGTATTATGAAATAAATTCATTAGAAAGTAGTCAGGTCCTATGGAAAACCCCTAAGGAAATCAAAGGAAAGTTTGTGTAATGCATAGTGAGTAAGAATTTGAAGGGACTTTTAAACTATGATGAAAAATCAGTATGAATTTTGAAATACATTCTTAATGCACTATTTGATAGGAAACTGAGCTTTTACAGCTCTTTAACCTGGAAGTTTTTTTTTAGATTTGATCTAAATCTAAATTTCATGTTTAGATTTAATGTAAGCTTAACATTGTGATGTGTGGCTAATACTGTATTAACTTGAGGTGGACTTACATAATCAGAGGGACTTATTGCTCTTTTTTTCCGCTAGGGAAAATTTTATTTGAATAAATATTAAATATTTTAAAAATATTTTTTTTATTCTGTATGTGGCATATTATGTATCGTATTATGCATGTTACTTTATGTATTTTTTTTTCCTGAAGTCATTGCAGTTCGAATTGTAATAGCATTGGTGCTTTGTTGTATTTATGCTGTGACTCTGAAGTAAAGAGGAAGATAATGTGTTTGTCATTCCTAAGAAATGGAATGAGACCAGGCATGGCAACCCGTGTGTGTATGATGTTCACTGTTCAGCAAAACTTTGTGCATTCAGCAGAAAATAAACGATTCTAATTTGATAAAAAATGGTTATTCTGGAAGGGGAAAATGTATTTGTGCTTTCAGAAAACTGAAATGCTGATATCTAGAGTATCAAAGAAGAATATAATGCTAAAATGACGCTGACTAAACTTCTTGACATTTGTTTTTTGTTCAGCTGTTAGTGAGTGGACGTCTCATAAAACACCAGTTGCAACCTGCATGCCCACAGGCACCTCTATTCTCAGGGCAGATAAACTGAGAAATTTTGCCTAGGAATTTCATGAGCACCAAAGGATTTCAGATGTGGACTAGGGTCCCACCGTACTAAAAAACGTGTTTCTGTATAAACACAAAAAAGCAAACACAATCTTTTCCCGAATTATTTTAATTTTAAAGTGTACAGTTTGAAATAACAGGGAAGCATGGACTGCCTGATGAGGAAACTGCTGCATTTAGGTGCTGCTGATATAGAATAATATATAACTGTTTAACAGTGATGCAAAAGTCATAAAATCACTTTTGTCTCGCAAGGTTTATTTCCTTACAGAGAAACTCTGACAACCCTCACTATAGTCAGTCACATGTCTTAAAAATTGTGTGCAATATATTTTACTTGATCAAGGAGAGGTAGGAAAACATTTCGAAACCCTAACTTTTTTTTGGGGGGGGGTCCTTTTACAGTATTAATTTGTAAAAGGCCTTATGCTTTTTTCTTCTGAATCCTGTAAGAAAGATTGAAAGAGGAAAAGAGTCATTCTCAAGCTGCTGTTTACTCTATGACTTTTCAGTACAAGCTTCTGTCTCAGTTATAAACTTCTGTCAGAAGTATTTATTACAATCAGGAGCTGCCCTGTAGGTAACCACACTGGTTATAGATCAAGAACTATGACCAGTTCATTGTACACTGTGATTCTTGCAGAGACTGAAAAAAAAAAACGAAGAGAAAAAGCTGTTTCTCTGCTAGATCTGAATAGGTTTCCTTTACTTCTGGTTTAATTTCATCATTAAAGAATCGCTTTTGAAGCAAGAAGCACAATGTGTAGACTGTTATCAAATGCAAAATAAGGCCATGTGTGAATACACAAATAAAGTGAGAAATTGCAGCATTTACCATTCTTTTTATTTGTTCTGCCAGAGATAACAAGTGGGAATAACTATTTTTTGTTTTAGCTGTTAATATGAAAAAACATCAGAGCAAATTGCTTGGGGCCAAATGAAGAAGTTTATTATTCTGCTTTATAGACGAATATACATTTCTCCATTTTCAAGTAATCTTTTGTTTCCTTTTTAATTATCACACCGAGGTCGATTTGTTTTCCTTTTCGTGGGGAGACAGGGACAGCATACATTTGTGAGCGCTTTTGGTGAATAAACTATTCATCTGCAGAGCTTGCCCTCATTCTGTGGTTAAGTGTTGCCACACGGGCTCTCGACTGCGAGCCTGAGCTGCGCTTTACATCTTCCACAACATCATAGTTAATGCTTTGTTCTGAAAAATCAGAGAGGTGCCTGATTTGGGTTAGTGGGCAGCGATGTGAGCGGCAGCACAAGCAGGGTCGCGCGGGCTCCTCGCTGCTCGCCGGGATGGGACGCGTGAGGGCCGGCGCGGTGCCACAGGAGCGCGGCGCGGGGAAGGAGCTGCCTTTTAATTCGTTTGCATGGCAGGGATTGAACCCGCTGGGGCTCTGAGTTCAGATGCGATGCAAAAGTGATTTGAGAGAGGGCTCTATGCCTGAGCGCAGAAAAAAACTAAGTTACAGAAGTGTTACACAGAAGTAAACTAAACCATTTTTCAAAATGAGACTAGCAAATTTATGCTCTGCTTACTCAAACATTGAATTTTTTTTTTAAGTCTTTCTGATAAAAATGCCTGAGTGGATCTTCCAGAATCAGCGGGGCAGACTTTGCTGGCAGGTATTTAAAAAAAAAAAAAAAGCTTTAACAGTCAGATTTCAACATAACCATCAGGATAAATGAAACTAATTCCACAGGATTTTATGGTTTTTTCCATTGTCATGAGCAAGGCTCACTATCTTGTGCCCAAGAAAAAAGGGCAGATTCAGTGCCTTGACTAGCTGAATTTAAATGACATTAAGAGGTACAATATTGCAGAATGAAGTGGTGCATATCAAGCCTTTATTTTTTTGACATTAAACAGATCAGCTGTTCTGTAATATAGAGGTTGACTCTACCATGCCCCTTCTTTGAGCAGCCAGTTCAGGAACATACAAGCAGTCTCGCAGGGACATGGTTATCTTACTGTTTTACATGCCTTTCAATGACTTACATTTTTTCTCTGCTTCAGCACTCCTTGAGGCCATTAGCAAAATATTTGCAAGCTAGTTAGCTTCAGTATAGTGCATGACCACTTCAGATTAATCCCTAACAGCAAGCAGAATTGGAGGGGGAACATGTCCGGTTTGTGTGAGTGCCTTTTGTTTCTTTCTGCTTTGCAAGGAACCACAATTCTCAAAAAATAACTTGCTTTCATTAGGAAGCACTTCATCACTTTAATTGGTGCCTGCCTCTGAGCATGGGATGAAAAAGAATTAGATCCTGAACTTTCCCTTTTTAGTTTTGAGCCAATTCAATACTACTACTGGATATATTTCACACTCACGCTACTAAGTGGTGTGCCACAGAGCTGCATGCTGGTCACTGTGTCCCCATGACACAGGCATTTGTAGCTCTTCAGTCCTTAAAACAACACCAATTACCTTATTTTCATTTTATCTGAACATAGTTTATTTTGCAAGATGTGCAACAGTAGTGGCAAAATGAGAAATGTAACAAGATGCCTGCCAGCGATCATATCCTAATCACCTTAAAGGCTGTTTTATTTTATCCAAATCCAGTAGATAGCTTAATAAATCATTCCTTGTGCCACTAAATCTGAATCCATGCTCACCACTTTAACAGTGAACCGAATTCAGACACCACGTGCAAACACACACAGTCAGGTTTCCCAGCCTAAACCATTCAGTCTGTGCAGCAAAGCTGAGCAATTTCTTCTCTACATAAAATTCAGCCAGTTTTACAACTCTTTGGGAGGAGAAGATTGTCTATGCCAGGACCTAACTCTTTCTCTTTAACTGGTATTTAAATTTCAAAAAGTATTTAAGAGATATGGTTGAATAAAATATATTATTAAAACATTACACTTCACTAAAGACACTTGCTTTTCTTGCAAGTCAGTGCATGGCTCTTGAAGGTGGCTAGATGGAGAAAGAGGCTGTTCAAGCTTCATGGATGGGCATAGCACTGGACTAGGGGTGCATCTGGTTATTGCTTTTTGTGCCAGGAGTGACTAGGGGACAAGAGGGCCCATCTCTCTAGGGTGGCATGAATGCCAGGCTGTCTGTGCTTGACCTCCTCCGTTGAGCTGTAGGCTGTTGTCTTTGCAAGGAATCCCAGTAAGGGGATTGTGATTTGCACAGATGCATCTTCTAGGAACCAAACTGAAGTCCTTATTTTTGCATTTGAAGGTCATTCCTATGCGGCTCTCCACAAACTCATTTCAGAATTGGGTTAATTAAAATGTTAAATGTCACTAAAATATGAGTGCGTGAGATGCCATTGAATAAACATGCATTCTGTACCTCTGGAGAGCACAGCTGGCCACCTGACTAGACTTCCTGCCTCTTTTTCATGTTTCCATTTTTTCCTCACTACTGGATTGTCTGCGTTATTTCCTTATGTTACAACTTTTCGGTTCTGGGTGAAAATGACTTTAGAAGTAACAAATCTTTCTTTGTTGTTCATCCCATGCAGTGTGAAAGGCGCTGATGCTGGCAACGTGATCAGACTATTTGTACCAGATATTGGGATGTTCATCGCGAGTCTGGCAATATGGCTCCTCTGCCGCAACATTGTTCAGAAGCCAATAACTGAGGACGCAGCACAGTACAACCTGCAGTTTGAAAATGAGGAAATGGTATCAAATGCACGTTTCTATCAGCTTTTAACTAATACAGAGCTTTGGCATTCCCATCTGAGTTGTATCTTGAGATGATTTCATGAGCAGTGAATGTGTTAAGAGTGAATTTGCTTTCAGAAAACTATACAGTTGAATCTAAAGTGGGAAATATGTTATTGTGCTTGTCCTTTGTTGAGGGAGGGGGACCAAGGGAAGCAGAATATGAAAAGTGGTCAATGCAGGACTGCATTTTTCAAACGATTTCATATTAACACAATATTCAATGACAAATTGTTTCTTAACCAAAGCTGCCGGATAAATCTGAATAGGTTGCTTTCTACCTACATGGCTCAGTTTCTTAGCTAGCCTCTGTATTTCCAAACTTGGTATCCAAAAATAACAGCAGAATCCAAGTAATTATCACAGATTAGTATTAAAGAGAAGAGAGACCATATATTCTATTCATGGAAGGAGGTATCTGAAACTGTGGTTACACAAACAGATGAATAAGCTTGTTGTCCTGTTTTTTGTGAATGGCCTTGCTGGAAGTGTTGGTGGCTTACTGTATATTCTACTAGTGGAAAGGAGAATGACAGAGATACTGAAGACAAAAAAATCCACAGAAAGAGGGAAACGATTTTATAATATAGAAAGCCAAGGAGGTAGTAGCCCAGGGTGTTAAGAAATTACCACTATGAATCTCAACATGTTTCTTATCAGACTGTCTCATGTGCCTTGCGTCTCATTTTCTTGTTTTCTTCTTGTTATACACATTGTGGGGAGGGGAATATTGTTTCTTTATTTTCAAGCCTGCTTTTTTAAGGGAAACAGTTACAATTTTGCTCATTTCAGATAGAAACATAGGAGTATTTTTAGTATTTGGGAGGATCAGCTGCCCCATTTTGGTACCACGATGGAGGGAGGGAGGTGGAAATCTGCTTGCATGTTGCCATGTTGTGGCAATGCCAGAAGCTGCTTGAGTTTCTAGCAGATTAGTATCAGGGCTATGTTTTACATTGGTTGCTTGTAACTCTCATGGGCTTTTTGGCATCTGATGATTGCCTGAAGATTGCAGCTTTCAGTTGTATCCTCTCTTTGACCTCATCCTGATCAAATACTCAAGACTTTGTTGTGTCTCTTGGAAGCCAATTGTATTGATTTTAAATCTGCTTTATTGTTGGAACAGTGCAAAACAGATTTATGAATAGGAAAGGATCTGCAGGGGTATCTATAAGGAGAGACATTTGGAGTATTAAGTAGTGTGGCTCAGGAACATCCAAATTGCATGTTTTGTTTTCATTCCATCTCTCTTTTAAGAGAGTTGTATTTTAGCAGTGTGAGTCCAGACAGACTTCTTTGAAGCCGTTTATCTCTCGGATAGAAAATATGTTTCTCCATGTGTAAGAGAAGAGTAATCTGATGGCAGAAACTCAGAAGAAAAATAAAAGGACATGCTTCAGTTTCTCTGCATCTAAATGACAGTGTTTGAATATTCAGTCTATTAGTTCAGAGGTCGGCCTAGAGTCTGTGTAGGAGAACGGAGCAAAAGGGATGGGTGCTGGCTGCTAGAGGTTAATAGTAATTTGTTTGGAATGCAAAAAAATCCCTGCAAAACCCTGAGCTAACAAACACTGATTGCATAGAAGAGAGCACAGCTTTAAACTGGTTTGGTCGTAGCTGGGCCACTGCAAGGCAATCCACAATGCAATTAAACATGCCAAAGGACTCTACAAAAAAAGAGTTTGAGGGAAAAGAAAGAAAAGTCTACAAAGAAATATACTGACTGGCAAATGGAAAGCTGCATAAATGTATTTTACCTCTTAGCATCAAAACTCAGCAAATCATAGAATCATAGAATGCTTAAGTTTGGAAGGGACCTCTAGAGATCATCTAGTCTACAACCCCCCTGCACACGCAGGGTCACCTAGAGCACGTGGCACAGGACTGCGTCCAAGCGGGCTTTGAAGATCTCCAGAGAAGGAGACTCCACAACCTCTCTTGGTTGTAAGCTATGTGTAAATTATACAGTAGATACAGTGACATCAAAAATTCTATGAGAAGGTTTTCTTTTTTAAAAAATGAATAGTAGTTCCTGTCATCTGAGGTGATCCCCACTACTTTAGGGTGTTTTGTTACCTTCATAACTGAAGTAATGCATATATGTTAGAATAGCCTGCCTGATTTTTAAAGATGGAGTAGACTGCAGAGTGGAAAATTAGGTATTCATTAAATAAATTTCTCCAAACTTCAGCTGTCTCTTTGTAGGTGTCAGCACAGAACATCCCGGAGCCATTTCTGCTAGTTAGGAGGAGGCTGCAAAAGCAGCTAAATCTGCTAGGAATATGTAATTGGCAGGATGGGCTGCAAGAGACCTAATGCGTATGTAGAGCATGCAAGTGAGTGTCTGAGTTGGAGGAAATAGTTGCATGGTCTAAAAAGAGACCGTGGGTTCTTTTGGGCTCTATGTGATATTTTTTGTGGGCTTTGTGGGCTTTATGTGATATTCTTCAATTCTTCTTTCTTCTTTTCTTTGAGAAAGGGAAAACTTAATAAGCAATCAGTTCTTTGGCCTCTGCACTAGCTGACTGGTGTCTGTGGCCGTACATCTGTCTGGGCTTATACTGACACTGTAACTCTGCTGACTTCGAAAACACAAAGTAAGGTGCAGCAGTAACTATCCTGTAAACAAGCACTCCAGGAGAAGTATTGAGCTCGGTGCCCTGCTACCAGGGGTACAGTCCTGCGTGTATTAGACCAAGCCCACAGCCAAAAGCTGAAGAGCTTTTGCTGGGAGTCCCTGTTCCAGTCATCAGAGATTCATGGCATGAAATTTTCTTAAGAAAGTGTCAGCTGATTTGAACAGGGCCAGGATGCTAGATGCTTAGGCCACAGATGTCTCTGTGAATCAAAAATCTGCATTCTGTCAAGCAGGCAAAAGCAGAGGAACGTGTCTTTGCCTTTTATGTTTTTGCACGAAAATATTTATAAAGAAAAATTCTCAGATATTGCTGCTTCGGGGGAGCATGAAATACTATAGACATAGGTTAACTTAAAATATATATATACTGTAGATACTCACCCCCTAATTTACATTAAAAAAAGGTCATATAATTATTGTGGTATTTTTTAGAAATGACCTTTTCAAAGCTCTGAGTCAGTCCCTCAGCTCTCAGTTGTCTCAGTTGTTATCTTGGCGTGCTGAAAAATGCCCGGGTTGAGTAGCAGCCTGTGGCGCTCTACTGTATGCAGTAGCCTCTAGAAACCAGCTGGAGAGCAATATGAAGGCACTGTTTGTGGATTAAGCTACAACTCGACATGAGGAAAGGTAGCAGGTTCAAGAAGCATTCTTTATAAAGTGGATGTCCTCCTTCACTACACTGCATCCAACTTCAAGGGAAACATCTCATCAGGAAAAGTCTATCTGAAAGAGCAGAACTGGAGAGAGGAGATTGGAAGGTGGTGAGGGACTCTCAATTATTTGTAAGTAACTCTATCCCAGGAATAAGCAAAGAGTGTGGTTTTAATTAACAGTGAGTCATGAAGTAGGAAGGTCTGCCAGATACCAGGCTGCAGTCCAACTCATTACCACCCCTAAATGGTTGCACACTTGGAGCAAATGTGTCTGCAGGCCTTTTTTATTAGGGCTCAGAAAATTTAAAGCAGGTGAATTCAGCTGGAGACAGGCCCAGATTGCAAATGCTGAAAAGCACAATGCCAGTCACAAGGTGTGAAAGGTGGAAGAAAATAAGAAAGACAGTTAACTCCCAGCTGCAGCCGAAAGTATGTCATTTTTGATTTGGTGCAGATGGTGGTTTTATATGCCAAAATGCAGATGCAGTATATACAGTCTGATAGGTATTAGAAAGGAAGTAGCTTTTTCTTGAGACTGCAGATGAAATGCCTAATATTGTAAGTGACAGGGAAAAAAAATCCTTGTGAGATTGCATAACTTAAACTTTACAAGAGGTGTTGATCTTAATTGGAATATACAGTCGTAGTCTTCAATGCAACTTCCTCCCACAGCACTTGTCGCCTTGCCCATTCAAGCTTGTTTCTCATCCACATTCTTTTACAGAGTGATCTGCAGAGTCTGTACTTTGTTCCATAACTTTAGAGCCTCCACCCCTCCTCATTTCTGCGGAAGGCAGAGATTTATTTGGGATCTCAGAGTTAAAAAAAAAAAAGAGGAAATTGTTTTAAGATAAACTGAAGTTTGGGGAAAATGTGAGGAAGGCTTAGCTTGGGTTAAGAAGCTGGACTTAATTCAGGAGCGCTGGATTGGTTCTTGCTTCAGCCATAAACTTGTTTTGTGTCCTCAAGCCTTCCTGCCTCCTTCATGCCTCTCAGCTTCTGTGTCCTTGGCAAAGAGGGACAATCGTGGTGTTTTGTCTCCTAACTTTGTCTGTCTATCTGAACTGTAAACTGAGAGGCCAGGGTTGCTGCTGCTTGTGCTTGCACTGACCACTGAATACACCAAGAGCCATCTTTTGGTCCAGGTCTCTCATCTTTTGATCCAGGTGTGACAGCAATATGAATAGCACTGAATAGCTCGACTCTGAGAGTGCTGGGAGAGATGTGCCGTGCCTTGTCCAAGGGCTTCCAAGACTGGAAGTTGCCATTGGCCTGGAGGTCCACTTAGGCTAGTAACTGAAAGGAGCTGGTGCCTGGAGGACAACCACAATAGGCAGGAAGCAATAACCCCATTTGCCCATCTCCAACATTAGTGTTTATCCTGATCTCTCTTAGTGAGAGGCTGGTTTTAATCCTGAAACATATGGTTTCATATCCCTTCCAAAAACGTTGTTAATTATAGCTACTTTGGATAATCTTGTTAAACATACAATTATCCAGTGCCTTTTAAAGCCTCGTTACTTTCTTGGCTTCAGTGGCGTCACGGAGCAAGGACTTCCACGATTTAATAAGTGCTCTTTGATTTTATTTTGAATTTAACACTCTTTAATTTTATGGAAGACTCCTTGTTCTACATGTTGTAAAACAAGGCAAGATGCTCTAAGGGA